AATTAATAAGGAAAATTACACTCTCATTTTTTACAGTGACAAGAAAATAATCGTCGATGTCACAACCTGTGTGTGTGCGCATCCTGTAATTACTGCTATTAAAGTATCAAGAGTATCTCCAGTACTGCTTCGGTTCATGAATTTGAAATGTGGAAACTGTCAATTGTTTTAAATATTAAGAAGTTTAATAACTGTATTTTTTTTTTATAGAATGTTTGATATCAATTTGCATCATATATCACGCAACGAAGTGACACGTTTTAGCACAAACTTGAGCATAGAATTTTCCTCATCAAAGATAAATATCGATATTTTATAAGAATCAAATTCTCTCTTATAACAAATAAAAGTTTATTAACGCAATTAATTGATATATCTATTGCATTCGCAAGCGACATTGTCTTTTAGTACAGCGACAATTCCACGGGACATTTAAATTTTATAGCAAAGACGATTCAGCAAGAAGAAAGATGGACTGCGCCGCGTGAGTGTACATTGCGCGGAAAGAGCACATTGCATTCTTCATAATTTCTGGTCTCTCAAGGATTCCCCGCTCTTTCTGAGTTTTCGTAAGTATTTCACGTACGCGAATCAAGTAGAACCGCGCGGCCGCGACGTGATTCGCATGTAAAAATCGTCGCGATTCCACGGGCATTTAAGCATAGAGAACAACAGTCGCCGGATGTGATTGTAAAATAAGTTTGAAGAAAAATATATTTTACTACTTTTTATTTTACGTAAAATCGGCTTTAAACAATTTATAGTTTGCGATAATAAACATATTTAAAACAGTTGGAAATTTGGAAAAAACTTTGCATTAAATTTGCTTATGAAATTATATATATAATAAAAACGTATAATATAATATAATATAAAAACGACTTTAGCATGAAAAGGTGATTATATCATTATACCAGAATATTACAAAATTTATAAAAAATGTGAAGAATAGGTTTTAAGTTACCAAAGAAAGAAATATCTATATAAATTTTAATTTGACTTTTTAATATTTTATTTTAGCCGCCCGAAACGTAATATGAATACTATAAAGACAAAAATAAAATTTGCTAATGCATGATAAATAATACTGATTTAATGTTGATTTATTTTACTTTCAAATAATTAAAAATTACTTAGAGAATAGTTTGCTCAATAAAGTTTAGAATTAATAATTCATAATAAATTTCTCATAAATTGTCTTAGTAGATTTTTTATATAATTGCAAAATCAATTTTATAGATTTATGGCCATTCAAATTGAAAAACTTTATACTGCTGCAGCCTTGACATATGCAAACTCTCTCTTAATAGATAATTTTGAGAATATGGCAATTTCCGCCGATCGGTATCAAATTTTTATTTATCATTGTTTCCGCGCAAAATGGACAATCTTTATCTTTCATTTCAATATAATTGTAGAAACCAAGTGTGTGTATTCCGCGAAGCAGGGAAATAGCCATCGCGCAGTTGCAACAATTGTGACGCCAACGTGTGTTACCTCATCTGCGACACTCATGTGTGTCGCCTTGACGAGTAACCGCCGTATGCGAGCACGTCGAGAGGTGTCTGCTTTAAGAGACGCTCGAATCAAAATATACAACCGATGTGTGTCGCGCGTGCGTTTCGTCGCTGTGCGATTGGTTTCACGGCTTTATGCGATGAATTAACCATGAGAATTTTCAATTCTTTCATTTTTCATTTATTGACGCAGTCGTTTAGTCGTCATCAGACAGATGTTTGTTAACGCATTATTTCGCATTTTATACAAAATTCGAAAAAGAAGTGTCAATTTTACTTAAGAAGAATAGCGAGATCTGACTTAAGTGTTTTTAATTCTTTGCAATACTAAATGTACGCGACGTTTTGCATAATTCTCCAGTTAAAGCAAAGCTTGATTGCAATATTTTTTTAATGTTTATAAAATTTTCTAGATAATAAGAAACGATTGTTATATTTTTTTCCGTGATAGCATTAACGTAAGACAAAAGTATTTAACATTGGCTTATTTGTCGAAATTAATTCGAACCACAGAAGGCTAATCTACTTCAAAGCTTTTTTCGACCCATTTCGAGATGCACATGGCAAGCTATTATTATGCAGCTGCATCGCGCGCAAACATGTGTGCCACCTGTAACGCATTGCTCTTCAACGGGTGGCCTATAACCAGGAATACGATTGATCAAGTAATAGAATATAACTAATTATTACGATGATACTCTAATTATTACGGTGATTGACAATAAAAAATAAATTTTTAAGAGTGGATTATTTTTCCCACCAATGGCCCTGACGTACAAATTGCCTGACACGCTACTTTACAGATCAGCTGTGAGTCTCGCGCGGCAAGGCGCGATCAGCTGATCGCGAATAATACACGCGCTCGCGGTTACGAGCCGCACATGTTTTCTAACCTGTTGCGCATTACGCCGTTCGTCTCCGTCGCTCTTTTCTTTTCTCTCGTGTCGATCGATCGACTCGTTTCCGCATGCACGCGAGATGTTTCACAGACTAAAAGATTCGCGACGATTCCGCCGGCTCGCGACCGTCGTTTTGATGCGCGCATACGTTTCCTCTTTCTGTCTCATTTTCTCTTTGTCGAAAAGAGAGAATCCGTGGATTAGATCTAAATTAAAAATAAACACTGGCTGCGAGAGACACGATGACTAATTCGTTCTAATCCCGCTGCCCACTGACCGAGACCACGATTCGAAAACACAGCGAGATTTCTCATTTGGACACCTGACCAAGAGAGTGTGTGAAATTTGTTTCATTTTTCAGATAGAATTTTCTTCCGATTGATCGCTTTATACTTATCATCCCATCATATCTTATAATGTTATATGCGTGATTTTTATATATTTTATTATCTAAAATCCGTAACTCTTCAGATCAAGCTTTATGACTATTTCTGCTTCTTTTTAATTAATTTTTGATTATTCCAAAAGTAATAGTTGCCGAGAAAGCGTTAGCGCACAATGAATTTTTCAAGCAAACTTTTATAGTTAATCAGATTAATACAAGACAGAAAATATTCTTTTAAATAATTCTAATAAGCTAATCATAATAGTTTTACAGAAAATAAAAATAATTTTGCTTCATATAAAATTTTTACATTGATTACATTAAATTTTATACAACTTTTAAAACATAAAACGCAATAAGAAAATTAAAAAATTAACAATACGTGTATATATTTAGAGATATAAACATTGCACTTTAACGAATTTCGGCGAAAAAATAAAATAAATGAGAAATATTGAAAATAACATTAAAAATATAGAAACGTTCAAAGTAGCGATCGTACTTTAATAATTATTTTACAAATAAATAAAACATTTCGGTGCATGTTAAAAATGGTCAAAATATTATAAAAGCTGCAATTAATACAGCTAATTGCAAAATGTTGATATCCTCATACCTGATATTGATCATACACCTTATGCTCTTCCGAGGTACTCCCACAAGAACATAACCCAAAATATGCAAAACGCGTTCGAACGACTTCCAGAACACCAAGCAGATAACTGAAAACAATTTTGACATAGATAAGCAATTGTACGCAATGTTTAATGAATACAATAAATATCCAGCACTCAAAAATTACCCAGAAATATTAAAGTCGAGCAGTTTGGACAGTTCGTTCAAGATTAAACGTCAAATAATTCAGATCTTTCAAACTGAAGGTATAATCAAATCAGTTCAAACTAACTGTTCGAACTAACTTCAAATCCAAAAATTCAAAAATTTTTATATGGCGTTTTCGATTGGAATGCACGATATTTTACTCTGCAAATTTTTATTCTTTATTTTTTTACATTTATATGTATTCACATTTATTATTTTATCGTTAACTTTTAATTTATATATTCACATTGCGATACATCAAATAAAAAGCTTCAAATGTCGTAAATTGTATTTTTTGCGTAAGAAGAGTATAAAAGACACTTTCACAAGTAGCATAGCCGCGATGACTAAACGCGCAACAAATTGTTCCGTTGTTTTCAATTCCTCCTCCTTTTCCGTCATTAACTGTTTCGAACAAATTGTCGAACACGTTAATTGTCAACTGTCGTTCCATGCGATGATATTTGAGTTTTTATCTTGTCTATTATGATAAAGTACTCGTCGGGAGTGCCGTTTAATGTCGCGTGATTTTTATACTTGCGTCGCGATCGCATCTGGTATCCAGATTCTAGATGCCTTGAAAGATCGCAAATAAAGCAAGATCACGAGATCGCGAATAAATATGCGAGAATTGCGAGGACTGAAAGAAGGAAGAGGCGCAAAAGAAGCATTGGGCACCGGTGCAGCAATTTTACGGTAAGTAATAATTTATAGATATTTGTTGTCTGTTTTTAAAAATATTACACATTAAAATATTTAAAAGATAAGATATTAAATATTAAGATATTTAAAAGTTATTATACCCTTTAGTACTCTTATTGTGTTCTTATTGTGTATTATCTTTTGTGTTAATAAAATGCAAAAATTTATATTATTTATACTTTTTCTGTTAACTTTTAAATTTTAAGTACTAAACTTTTGTGGGTTTAGATTTAAAAAAAAGAATTTAATAATAAATCTGTCAAGTTAATCTGCAATAAGATAAAAATCTGATAGAGCGAATCAAAAACATACTGAATATTTGTATAATATAATTAAATAAAACAATTTTATTATGTATATATCAAAATACGGTAAAAAATATTAAGTAAAACAGACAAATAATGCAGGAAAAATCATTTAGTAAGTGATTTGCTATCGACCGAAAACTGAATTTATTTATTTCTTTCATCGATGCATTATTCAAACTCTACGATAACTCTACAATACTATACTGTGATAAATACGGCATAAAGTTTTACAAAATTTTATCGAAAATAATTTTTATCCCAAAGCAGCACACAATTCTGATAAGCATAATCCTGTTTGCATAAAATCTTTGTAAGAATATCATGTCGAATACGGATACTATGTTAGATTGATACGTTCCTGGCGATCACGTGAGCGACTGTGGCGCTATACGACGGCCAGTTCTAGAGACCAGTGCTCTGTTCTTCGTAAACGTAGTTCTTTCGTTCTTCAATCAGAACACAGAAATGGCGCCGGTAAGTTTTTATCAGGTTGAAAAATGCCAATTATTCGCTATTGTGGTCAACTTTTTCTCAAAATAATATTACAGGCGAAAAGTGCATGTTCGACTTATCACTCCGACTCAGGCTAATTTTATCATCTTCTCTTGAGATCAATTAATCAAAATCGGATTTGTGCGTCGCGTTCATCGTTTCAGAACATCTTGCACGTGCTTTAGTATAATGCAACATTTATATTTTGTTCACCGTTTTTTCAGCCAGCGAAGAAATCCAAAGGCCCAGTTAAAAAACAAGTCCTTCGGGGCAAGGGACAGAAGAAAAAGGTGTCTCTAAGGTTTACAATCGATTGCACTCACCCCGTGGAAGATAATATTATGGATGTTTCGAATTTTGTAAGTTGCATTGAATTATTTTGTGTTGGGATACTTTCTTTTTTTCAATACAAGAATTCTATTCAAGATGTTTATTCAATATCTTGATGAACATAGTCCATTCTTTACAAATTCCTAACTTCTTAATTCATAACCTCTTTATGCATGGAAAATCTGGAATAGATATCTTGTAAATCATGATGTCCATCTAATTTTCAATATTATATTCTTCCTTGAAACTAATTGTTATAATGATCTTTAGGAAAAATATTTACACGACAAGATTAAAGTGAGTGGTAAGACCAATAACTTTAATAACAATGTTTCCTTGGAGCGTAATAAGATGAAGCTCACTATTAATAGTGATATCGATTTCTCTAAACGGTGAGTAGCATCGTTTTTTTTTTTTTAATTACATGACTGTGAAAAAGTATAGAATTTTTTAAAGTTTAAACCATGTTATACATTCTGTTTACTATTATAAGCTACAGAAAGAGCGATATTTGCACTAATTTGAAGAATTTGTTTTTATAGATACCTCAAGTATTTGACAAAGAAGTACTTGAAAAAGAATAAGCTACGTGATTGGTTGCGAGTAGTATCGAAAGATAAAGAGACATATGAATTAAGATACTTCCAGATCAACAGCCAGGAAGATGATGATGAGGAGGATGCTGAGTAATTTTTTTTATTTGAATATTTAATTACAGATGCATCTGTACGTATTACTTTTAATAAAGAATAATAAAACTTATTGCTTTTGTTATTTAAATATGCAAGTACTACTGGTAGAAATGATTCGTAATCAATTTTGAATTAAATCTTTATTTCATATGTATTCTATACTTAAATTTATATTTTAATTTTGTTGGACGTATGTTTTTATAATGTTGCATTGGAATTTCAATTTGCTAATGTGTAATTATAGATCATATTTCTGTTTGGCATTATTCATTCTGTCAATATTTTACAACGAGGCTGCAGAAGTAAAATTATACAAATTTGTGGAATTAGCAGAAAAGGTATTTGATAAATGTTCAGAACATTAATTTTTTTAAGAATATTTTAACGTGTAAAAATGGGATGAACAATATTAGATTTGTAACGTTATTTCAATATTTATAATATATAATGAGAATTAGCTGAAAAATGATGTAAAATTTAATAGTACGAACAAACGATATATATCTACGAATTTTAATTTATAGTTTTGAATTCTATCAAAATATAATTATCCCAATATTTCACAGATAACTATACTTTTTCATTATCATCTAAACTTATTTTGATTAATTATTTTTAACTGCAACATTTATTGAGTGATGGCGTTGGTGTACAGTTAATTTTTCTTCAAGTTATGTTCAAACTCTTGTGTAAAATAATTTTTAACTTCACCATTTTTTTAGACCAACTTTTATGATAAAAATTTTATTAGGAATAAAAGATTGTGACAAAAATTATCTTTCTTGAAACATCCAAAAATATAAAAATTTATCAAATACTTTACTTTGCTATTTCTGAAAGTTTGTGTAATTTTATTCATAAATATCGAAATAATCAAAATAACAAACTAATTACAGTATTTGTTCAACGTAAAAATAAAATTGTTGTTAGAAGTAATTGAAAGTATATTTCTAACAAAAAGTATAATTATAGCTCAAATTACAAAACGGTGACGTACCTGGCGACAGTCGTGCACTATGATACCGCTTTCAATATATTTTAGCCAGAAAATAATGTAAAATACGAAAATGATTCTGATGAAGTGTCCGGTACAGCAACGGATGGACTTTTCTTCCTGGAAAAATTTTGATATTGGTTGATATAACAGCAATTGTACGAGTTACAACAAACATCCGTCACTTTACGAAAAATACTCGCGATAATTTTTCACGTACGACATTCACTTTCAGACGGCGACAATCGTGAAAAACACGGAACGATTTGACTTTGTCGCGACGCGTTATCTAATGAATTTAAGTTTATCTCAACGCGGCACCTATTGAAAAGTAAAATTGAAATTTATAAGTTGCTGAAACTGTCTATAAGTGTTAAAGGTATGTCCAAATGAACTAACGCTGCGTTATGCGTCTATGTAAGTTGTCTGGATATACCCTAATTTCACACGGAAAAATTTTATGTAAAAATAAATTTCCAAGTATTTCGGGAAGGTTAGAAACCGTCGAACTGATGAATTATCGTAATTTATTTTATATGCGGAATGTATACCTGAGAATGATGATGCTAAGACTAATTGCACTTTTGATGTGATTTGACTAGAAAGCAACATAAAATGTGAAAACTATTCCGATTGACTTCCCCGGCGTACAGCAGCGGATCACGAACAAACAACACTGGCTATAACAGCCATTGTACACGTTATGACAAATACCTGACACTTTACGAAAAACACGCACAATAATACTTCACGCGTGAAATTCACTTTTAGACGGTAAACATTGCGAAAAAAATGGAGCGGTTTAAAGTAACTTTGCCATCGCCACGACACGTTCCGTTACTTGGCGCTATTTAAAAGTTCTGGATGAGTGAAATTGCGATTCTCGAAATGCCAACATATCGAATCTCGAAGTCGAGTGTTCTCGAAGTGTCTAGAAATTTCGAGAATCTCGAAACACGCTCGCAGATGATATTCGATTTTCATCGTGTAATTATATTTGTTAGGTTAACATTTATATTTATTTCAGTTTATTGCTTTTTATTTCAGCCTTAAAATTTCCCAAGAGAGCATTAACGCAAAATAACTCTTGGAAGACACATAAATTCCTGTAAAGTGAGCGATTTTTACTATTACTTTGAGGTAAACAAGGACTACTTTCTCATGGCGGAGAGCACTTACGTAGCATGTTAGAAGGCGCAATCGCAGTGACGCACGGCGATTGTTGTTGGTTGTGATAGAAGGTTGTGTGTCCATCGAGAGCTCTTGTGTCGCGTCGTCGCCGTTCCGTGAGAGCCAACGACCGTCGCGAAGAGCGCGTGAGAACGAGACGGAATAAAGGTGAGCGAGTAACAACGCGAGCGAAACGAGGAGCGTCATCGTGTTTGCAGTCTCCTAGCAAGCGGGGACAATGAAATTCCAGTACAAGGAGGAACATCCGTTTGAGAAGCGGAAGGCCGAAGGCGAGAAAATCCGACGGAAATATCCGGATCGGGTGCCCGTGAGTATCATACGTACTTTCTACCTGTCCTTGTCCCCAGATGTGACTCTGCGCCTATCACTCGAAAATCATGCGGTAGAAATTGTACAGCGATGCACACACGCTTCATCATCAGGTTTCCCGTTATTTACGAAATCTCATGAGTGAGACGGAGTGAACGATGCAGATCGTCTGATCCGATTGCGCTTTCGCAACATGTGCTTCCCGATTCGCAGGGACTCAAGGTCGCGTTTATCTGCGTCGTATCACGCTTTTTCGTACTTCGCGTGAGGCATTATTTTAGGGATTTTTTTCTTTCTTTTTTTTATTACCTACGCCGCAATATTACGCGATTCATGCTCCTTTCGCGTTCCTTTTTCGTGCACCCTCCCCTCCGCGTGTATTGATTTACGTTACGTGTGTAACCAATATAAGATTTTGAATGTCCCGATATTTGCATTCTCGCGTAAACGCTATTTTGACATGCGTTTTTAGATAAACGTGAAAGATAAAATCATTTCCTCGATGACGAACTTTGGGCACAAACGTATCGTCGTGAAAACTCTTTGTTTAAAAATAATGATTTCCAGTTCTTTGTTTTAAATGATTTCTAGCGTTTTGCTGCAAATTAAGGTCAAGTTTTCTTTATATTTATATTAACATACAAAGCATGTATCTTTATTAACATCCATTATATGTGTTTTATTAACATTATTTTACAACTAATTTTACTTCTCTAAAATTGCCCGACATTTGCACATACAATGATTAGGCATATTACTGATTTTTTTTTGCATAATATAAACTGCCATGTAAATATAATTTTTATTCAAATTACATTCCCCATGCTTTATTGTAAACTTTAATCATTTGGAATAGCAAATAAATCAATAAATTACATATTTTCTATAATAACAGGATTTGTGACCTGGGTTCTGTTATTCAATAGTTGGATGAAATTCAATCTTACTTGATGTTAAATACATATTTGAAACTTTCCTTTAATCCAGGCAGCGAGCCAAAAATTAACCTTACTTTGAAATTCTGCTATCTAAGACTGAAATTTAATTCATCAAGTGAATAACAACTTTAATTGAAATGCACAGATATTGACTTGTTTTGTACAATATTTAACATATCTTCCAATTATTAGCAAATAAATTATGTTGTTATATACTTTAGAAATGTTTGAGATAAACATGATAAATATTATTGTAGGTTATAGTGGAGAAAGCGCCTAAAGCAAAGATCAGTGACTTGGATAAGCAGAAATACTTGGTACCTTCTGACTTGACTGTCGGCCAATTTTACTTTTTAATTCGTAAGAGGATTCACTTACGTCCTGAAGACGCTCTGTTTTTCTTTGTCAACAACATCATTCCACCAACGAGTGCTACCATGGGTTCTCTTTACGCGGTAATAAATAATATTATATGCTGAGGATATATCAATTTTGAATTTTGAACTTTGAACACTTATACTAATCTTTATTAAAATTTTAATCAGGAACATCATGAAGAGGATTTCTTCCTATACATAGCATACAGCGATGAAAATGTTTATGGTCATTAAACTTCTGGGATGCAAATGCCAAAACAACAAAGGATTCAACAACAAAAATCTACCATCTCAATGTAGTCTTCATAGACGCTTTCGAAAACCATACAAAATTACAGCTATCGACACTTTGTGAAAAATTTTATGTCTTGACGCTGCACGCTACGTTTGCTTCCTCCAAAGAACTACACACAACTGTCCTTTGACGATAAGAATGCTTCTTGTCAATTCCATTCTTTGTCTGACATCTAAGAGGGCTTAGTTCACTATAGGATGACTAAAATATGCAATCTGTGCAAAATTATGTGTAATGTTTAGCCTGGCCATTAAAAAAAAGAGAAAAAATAATGAAGCCAAAAAAAAGTCTTTGTATCGCCAAATATCACTAAATATTTGCTGTCATGTATTATTATGTTTTACTGCACATTACAATCATAACGTTCGCGCTGAAATAATAGTAGAAATCATACCGTCATAAATTGGAAGTATGGTATAGATGACAGGATACTCTGTACGTGATATCATTTCCATCAATTTAGGTTAGTATTATTATAATATATTTACGTGATTTTAATGTTATTATCATTGAAAGAGCGAAGAGAAATTGTTGGATATGCGAGCATGAAGAAAAATTTTCTGTAACGGCTGCAGGATGTAAGGCCAATAAAAAAAAAGTTAAAACGCGACAATACCTAGGTATTTTCTCAACTTTTTTTCTATTCTTGAATATTATTTCCTGCTTTATCTAATGCCTGCCAATCCTTTTCCTTTTCAGTTCCACTTGATTCGTTGCTGACAGATGTGACGTCCAATATCAATACTACACTTGTTTTGTCTGCACATCCTAAATTTTTAATTTGTTTGTCTCAAGTACACTGTGCTCTATGTATAGCTGAAGACATCAGCAGTCAAAGTCTTTCTGTCAACGAAGAAACAGTTTAAACATTATGGAAGCGAATTATGAGAAAAATTATACGAACGTTACTGTTGATAGATATATCAGTGATTTATTTAATCTTACTCAAGAAGACAGTAATTGGATCGTCACGAGCTCCTTTATGATCTTTACAATGCAAACAGGTAATATGAAAGAAATGATATCCCAAAATAGCTTTCCAAAAATTCGTATAAAGTATAAAAATTATTGTAATCGTTATTTTCGCCACATTTTTATTACACGTACAGTTCTATATTGATGCACTTTCAAACTCTCATCTTAGGTTTCGGAATGTTAGAATCCGGCTGTGTGTCTTTGAAAAACGAAGTCAATATCATGATGAAGAATGTAGTCGATATAGTCCTTGGCGGTCTGACCTATTGGATTTTTGGATTCGGATTCAGTTTCGGCTTGTACGAACCCAACAACCCTTTTATCGGAATAGGAGGTCTATTCATAGATCCACCCATCGATGACGAATATATGGGTTCCATCTGCGCGGCGTTTTTATTTCAACTGAGCTTCGCTACTACTTCAACAACCATAGTTAGCGGCGCTATGGCTGAACGGTATTTATTTTCTAAATGCCACTTACCAATCATCAGGGCAATCATTGTACTTTACATATTTCCAGATGCAATTTCAAAGCGTACTGCGTCTTTTCGTTTCTGAACACTATCGTGTATTGTATGCCAGCCGGGTGGGTTTGGGGCGACCACGGATTTCTGAATCGCATGGGCGTCGTTGATATCGCTGGCTCGGGGCCGGTACATCTTGTCGGCGGTATTTCGGGTAATGAAAGCTACATCGAGAGATATATTTAATCATTGTAAAATATTCAAGACGAATTAGATAATTGTTGATTCACTTTGTTTGTCGTACAGCGCTAGCTTGTGCTATCATGCTCGGTCCCAGAATAGGCAGATACGACAACGGCATCGATCCCCTGCCGCTCGGATGTCCTGTCAACGCGATTATGGGATTATTCGTATTATGGTAAAACGATCACAGATTGCACTCGCGTCAAATGTAACAAGCTGCAGAATGAAATGACTGTAAATCGCAGGTGGGGCTGGTTAGCGTTTAACAGTGGTAGTACTTACGGGGTAACCGGTGCACGGTGGCAATACGCCGCTCGAGCGGCTGTCTCTACAATGATGGGCAGTATGGGAGGCGGTCTGGTCGGTTTAGGATTCAGCTTGACTAATCCGAATGGAATCGACATCCTTAGCCAGATAAATGGCATTCTTGGCGCATTGGTAGCGATTACTGGTACATGCTTGATTAGTATATCATAAGAAAGATCAGAATTGAATTGATTTGTAAGATTTTTCGTCATAATGTTGCACTAGGTGGATGTTTTCTATATAGAGCCTGGGAAGCGATGGTAGTTGGGATGATAGGCGGTTTTATCACGTGCATCGCGATGCCGGCGTTAGATAAAATTCACATAGATGATCCTGTTGGAGCTGCCGCGACTCACGGTGTGTTTGCCTAATCGAATTTTTATAAATTTTTAAAATAAATTTCTTTACCGCGATAATAAAAATGTCCGCATTAAAATATAGGTGCGAGTGGTATCTGGGGAGTTGTCGCTATCGGCTTATTTGCCGACAATCCGTATCCTCTTGATACCACCAGTGGAAGGAAAGGTTTATTCAAAGGTTCGTATACAGTGATAATTTTGCTGATGCGACTTTTGTTCTAAAAATTTCTTATTTCACAATACATACATTCACAGGAGGCGGCTGGTATCTACTCGGAGTACAATGTTTGTCTGCACTTTGTTTAACAGTTTGGAGTTTTACCAGCTCTATCTTACTGCTATGGGTATATTATTCTTCAGACTGCATACATTTGCAAAAAAAAAGATATCAAATATGAGATGCAAAAAATATTGATTCTTTTTCAGATCATAAATAAGATAATACCGATTAGAATGTCAGTTTATGAAGAAGTTCTTGGAGCGGATCTTGTAGAACATAGAATACGTCATTCAAAGGTGCATAATACTTCAATTTTTTCTTCTGTATATCTTAATTTTTTTTAGTTATGAATTTTACATCTAACCTTTACGAGATGCGTTTATTTGCAGATAGGTGTGAGTCGCGCCATGTCAGCACTTCGGCCGTTTACTATGGAGAAGCAATTAAAGAGTGTACCGCCCGTGGGCATAAATCCTGGTATGACGATATTACTTCCGTCTAAAAAGCTATGTCGAAACGCGCAGTAATGTATACCTTTGATACAGGTCACGATTCGTACATCCTTCAACATAAAAGAAAAAAGTTGGGAAATTTTTCCAAGTCTGGGAAGCAACAGCCGTTGAAAAATTTGGTAAAGAAAAATTCTCAAATCCGGACAATCGCGGACTCCGCGATAACCGCGGAAGCGAAGCCGCAGTTTGCTTGGGTGGATTAAGAGAAAAAGAATCAACGAGATTTTTATTGATACCTCGTCAGATATAAATTTATTACAAATGTATAAACATATACACGTGCACGTTTTAACTTCGTTGCATTCTAACACGTCCGAACAATGTGTGTGTGTGTACGAGAGACACACATTCCGATACAATAAATATTTGAATTTCTACGCATTCGTACATATAAATATTGATCGCGCACACATACGCACGCACACACGACACAGAGATAAGTGGACATGATAAACGGATCACAGACAAACTGAATTTAACACGGTACATAGCTTATGGCACGGATATCGTTTTAGTTGAATAATTTAACCATCTAGGACATTCGATAAGAAAATGCTTTATATTAATAACGCGTGTTATTATAGGAAGTTTATTTCCATAAATAATTGTGCCTAAAATATTTACTCCTTATTTATAGCTTCATATACCAAGAATGATTACACTGGATACTCTACTTCGTTTATATATTGGCAGGAACTGTTCCTGAAGACCACATTTATTATATTCACAAAATAATACTATTCCCTTTTCAGATATTGTACTGGCGCATGGCAAAGATATTTACAATATCATCGTGCTTCTATATTTTTTTAGAACGATTGTATATTCTGAATAATCGATACTTGAAAATATTCTGAGCTCAATTTAGAAAATACAAATTGAATGTACATGTGTTAATGGAAGATTTGTGAGTATATTCTGAAAATGTATAAGACTAGAATATCACACGTTTTTGGAGGGCATAATGTATAGATAAAGTTCTGAATCTCCTCATAATTTGCTTCTAACGTTTATTTTTATGGTAATGATTAATTAAGAGTATGAAGACGAGCTCAATAATTACGTTTATACATAAAAAAAAGTATAAAAAAATTAACGCGCCGTTGATTCCTACACGTATTTCTATACGTATAAATATTCCATCTATTAATGTGATATAAAATATTGCAATGTCTAAAAATTTATTTCACAGGACATCGCTAAAGTCGAAACTTACCAGTTATATGTAATATATGTGATGTATAGAACACAATTGGATATATATGAGCTTGCAACTATACCGTTATTATATACTGCTTGTTGCCCATTGAGAAACTTCTGTAGGAAGACCTGGATAATTTTTTACAGCCTCCATAACTTGCTGCGATGTTAATGTGAATTTATAATATTGATATTCCTTTTCGAATTTTGTATTTGTACTTCCAATTGGTGTCAAGATCTCTAAGTTCTGAAGAATATGTACACATGTTTATTCAGTTTCGGTTCAAGTCCATTTAATGGGAATACAATAATTTTAATATGGCGTCTTACCTTGATATGTTCGAAAGCTTTCATGATAACTGGTCTCTGAACAGACTGTATAGAAGAATTCTGATTTGCAAACTTAACATAGCGGTTGTAAACCGCTTCAAAATTGAGTGGTTCGCCGTCATAAATGTCTGTTTCATGCTTCATGGCTATTATCTGCAATAAAATTGAGATGAAATATTCTTTTTATAACAAGAGAAGTCAGTCTTAGGAAATAATCAAACATACCAAACACATTTCCAAAATGGACAATCCCTCGAGCATCAGCAGTTTGTCATCCTGTGAAAAGATCTTACTCGCTTCCACAAAATCATTCACTTCCAATTTCTGATGCTTTTCGGATAATGTCGAGACGGCCACCGCCAGAAAATTTCTAAAGCTCCTCTCGCTCACATCGATGTGATACATTCTCTTCAGTAAGTTCACCATTGTGACATTTGTCGTTAAACTTTTAATATACTCGTTCCACATAGATCCAAATTGCGGATCTATCGTACAATCATCATATTGCTCTTCAACTTTATTTACATTCTCGTCGTCAGGTAAGCTGAGAAGATCCCGAAACAGTTCCAGGCGATCATCGAACGCAGACGTATGTTGTTCCGAGGATGATGTATCGCCAGGAAAAAGAAATATTTGACGATGTGAGTATCTGGACTTCACTCTCTTCTCTAACAATTCCACGACGTCTAATCTACAAGTTATCCCTAATACGCATATTGGCACCTGTAAGATTAAATTGTTTTTATATATCCATGCTCAATTTTTAATCTTTAAACAAACATTCCATTCAAATACCTGTGCAGATTGAGCAACATCAAACAGATTGTACAATAATGTCTGGTTGTGATGTTCACAGAACAGATCAAACTCATCAAGTATAAAGATGATTGGTTTGGAACGTTTCTTATCGCCAGACTTCAAGCAATCTAATAAGAAGCTCAAATTTTCCGCAAATGTGCCGAAAACTTTATCACCAACTGCATTCTCCAGCTGCATCTGACGAGTCAGATCTTTCAGTGCTAAACGATCGTCAGTGTGGACTAATCCATGAAGATTCACTATTAGTGCATTCTCTTTAAAGTTTTTCAAAGCAGACAATTCCTTTAAGACACTATTAACAAGCTGGAATTACAAGTGAGTTATTTTTAATTGTAATGTAAGTATTTTTTTATATAAACATAATAATAATTAATAATTGTACCGTCGTTTTTCCACTGCCTCTGGGTCCGATTAGCAAGGCAGAATTACTTTCTCCTGTTTCAACAGTACGTTTCACCAAGTCTAACACATGTAGCCGCTCTTTAACATGATGCCTAAATTTCGTTTCAGGGCACATTATTTTACGTTTCAGATATTTCCGCGTAAGCAGTATCATGTTGTCTTGGAAGTCGATGGCCATCGTTTTCTTCTTACTCATTCTACTCGAGCGTTTAAACTGCTTAAAAAATAGGAACGTTTATGAATAATGAAATTTATCAAGTTTCTAGAAATGCCAGCATTCCCGAGGCATGAATTACGTATATTCTCACTTTACTCGGATCTGAGATGCAATGTTTATAAATATATATATATATATTATATGTATATTCGCGATGCGTCAGAAAAACATAACCCACAAGTATCATCAGAGCGAATTTTAATGATTATGAAAATGTATTTTCTGTGAGAACTTACGTGAGTCTTTGCGATTAAATTTTCGATCGATTATTTGGCCGCGATAGAGCGCTCTTTAACACAAGAAATAACGCTGTGCTCGTAGCAAAAAAATAATCCGGCCGGAACTGAACGCGTTGAAGGGATGATATTTACGAAACAAACATGGATGACACTGTGCAACAACCAGAGAAGAAGAATTGCACTTTTTTATTCAAAAAACGTAAAATTCGTAGCAATGCTACAAGACAGCGGAAAGAAGGAGGTGACAATAATGGTGAGTCGTTGTATTAAATATCAATTTCAGCATATTCTTCTTGTAGATATCACAAATTTGTAATATAAGTTTGTTGAGCAGAAGTTATAGGTTAGATATAAAAATGTAAACATTTGCATTAATTTCCTTTTAGATAGCAGCGATGATGAGACTACTGTCGTTAAAAAAGAGAGGAAGCAAGACGATCACAATCCCATGGTACAAAGTGTGAGTATTTTGCAACGCAATATAGATACATAACCTCTTGTCTGTGATATTTAAATTATACAATTAAACTAACAATTTGCAGTTAAATAAGCTCTAATTTTAAGATGTTAATATTATAAGTCAAATAACTTGAGCATAATGTTTATTTTTCTAGACAAATTTGAAGAAGCAACGAGAGAAGGCCAATTATGAGGATAGCAGCGATGATGACAATATAACAGTTTTATATAAAAGCAATAGAACGGTTGGACCAGCTGGTCCGAGTGATCAAGGAGCAACAGCCATTCTAGAGACAGAAACAGAGAAGGATAGAGACGCACAAGCGCTGTTTGAAAAAGCCCAAAAAATAAATGAGGTATATTTTGTAATATTTAGTTTACAATTTGTATACTACAAAACTAGATTGTATATTATAATATGAGGTTTAAATTCTTAAACCAGCGATGGAAAGAGTAAAGTTAGTAATATATTTGTATTTTAATTATCAGGAGCTGGAAGGAAAAGAGGATGATAAAGTTTATAGGGGCTTGAACAATTATGCACAATATTATAAGAAGAAAGATACCGCTGCTGGAAATGCATCCAGTGGGATGGTACGTAAGGGTCCAATTAGAGCACCTTCCAATCTAAGGGCCACAGTGAGATGGGACTATCAACCCGATATATGTAAAGATTATAAAGAAACTGGTTTCTGTGGTTTTGGAGGTAAGTGACATGGTTTACAGTTATTTTTCTATGTAATTAGAAATTAAGACTGATATAAGTCTTTTGTTTTTGTAGATAGCTGTAAGTTTCTTCACGATAGATCGGATTATAAACTGGGATGGCAATTGGAGAGAGAAACTGTTACCGGAGAATACGATAACAGCGGCGACGAAGATGATAAAAAGTACGAGATCGACAGCGATGAGGATGATTTGCCATTTAAATGCTTTATTTGTAGAAACAGTTTCACAGATCCTGTTGTTACCAAGTATGTGTTATTAAAACATTCTTAATCATTGCACTTTGACACTTGAAACTACTTTAATGATCGATTTGCTATTTGTTTTAGATGCAAGCATTATTTTTGCGAAAAATGCGCTTTGGAGCAATATAGAAAAAGTACACGATGTTATATATGTAACGTCCAGACTAACGGTACGTTTAATCCCGCAAAAGAACTCATTGCACGAACCAAAATAAAGAAGGAGGAAGCGGCTGCAGCAAGCGAGACTTCCGATGACGATTAATAAAATTAGAATGCCCGCACACTTATAATTTTGTAACGATATAATAGCATTATAGAGAAGAATGATAATTCTTATAAATCATAGAATATTAACATAGATTACTTCGGCATTCCATCGACAGGATGAGATTTTAAACATAGGATAATCCTTTGTAGAATAATTACAGGTGAGTAAATAATTTGGTAATTTTCCAAAATATATTTTTCCTTTATCTTTTACATGGCAAAAATATCTTTTAACACTTGCCATGTCTGACTTATAATATAGTTATTTATCTTTTACATGGCAAAAATACCTTTTGACACTTGCCATGTCTGATAATGTAGCTAGCCAATAAAGATGTAAACCTCTTTATTAAAATGTTATATTTTACAACAACAAAAAAAATGATTTAAATAGCGATCCGCCGTATATGTACTTGTACGCCATCGTCACGCAAATATATTGATGCAAACAATTCAAATACAAATTACCACTTACTTATCCTTGATACAATATAGAATATTTGCTAAATAAAATTTTTAATAGTGTATTGTAATGTAATTTGTATGTTATTATTATATATATTTAAAATACATATAATAATAACACGCACATTCTTACACCACTTCGCCTCTAATCGAATTTAGAGACTAATAATTATCGGGCTAATTCGCAGGGAGAACCCCGTGCGGGGCGAAGGCGCTACCGACGGCTCGTATCGGGCGTCGCGACGCGAATCGATACGCGGCGCAGGCGGTGTGTCGACGGCAGTGCACAGCGGCGGCAGTGTGTTTCCCTCGTATCGTGAAAATGTCAGCGGACCGATCGCTCACCGCGGGCCGCTGCCGGAAGCAAGCGGTGTCCCCGCCGTGTTCGCAGCGCGCGACGACGATATAGGGATCGCGCGAGATAAACCCTCGCGTCAACGGCGCATCGCGATCTCTCTCTCATTCGGAAAGACGCGTCACGACGGATCACCGCGTTCCGCGGCGCCGCCTCCTACCACGCCGAGGATCGATCGACGGAAGGACACAACGCGCGAAACGCGACAGGACGCGAAAGCTTAACGCGGTGGTGGTGGTCCTGGTGCGCCGCATCCTCCGACCGAGTGGAGCGTACATACGCAAGAAGCCCGTAACGTTTGTATTTATAGCGTGAAGATTCGCGTCCCAGTGTGACGTTCCGGAGGATTTAACCGTGGAATTAAAGATCGCAGCGGTGGCTCGTTGAGGTAGGTCCCGGTATTGCGATGACAAAGGGAGATTCTCTCGAAAGATATCAATCTTATCGAGAGATAGAAACATATCGAGCGATCTGCTCGAAAAATCATTAAATAGCATTCATTAATCACACATCACATCTCCGCTCCGAGTATCTATATTACGCGTTATGTAAATATCAAGATTAAATTTCAACATCGAGACGCTACGCAAAAACACTGCTTGTCAGCGCAGCCGGTTTGTGACGGATCTTGCATCCGTCTTCGCGAAATCATCGCGTGAAGTCGTTATGTAAAATTATTCGCACTTTCGATTGTGTTCGCAGTTGTGCTGTCGGCGACGTATGCCGCGTGTAAGGACGCGAGTGCGAGCGACTTTTGTGACGAACAATCGACGACGGTGAAGAAGTGCGCCGCGTCGCACGGTGCTGAATAAAACAGTAGTCTCCTATTTGTCTCATCCTCGGGTCGAACTGTAAGTGCTGGAAGTCGTAGTCGTCGTCATCGTCGTCGTCGTCGTCGTCGTCGTCTTATCAGTGGCGATGCTCCCGATCGATAGCCCGACGATCCACGGAAGTTAATCGACGAAAGTTAATCGACCCACCCGGTTTTCTCCATCACGGTGAAATCTGCAGAGCAGAGAAAACGGCATTATCATCGGGAAGGTGCAGTATTTCACGGCGACTCTCTATCAACCAGGTGGGTGATTTACGCGCGACGTGATAAGGATGCCGCGATAAGCAGCACTAATGATATTAATTCGTGCGCGACCGTGCTAACGAACGCCCCTGCATCTATTTCTCTCAGTTACACTTTCTATATCTTCCCGTTTTTTTTTTTTTTTTTGCTCTAATCTCCGAGGCCTAAATAAATGATGTGGCGCCTGAAAAGATAGACCGGTTGCGATAAGACTTCGATTAGCAATAAGAAATGTATGTGTAATAAATGTTGCGCCCAACAATTATTTTAACATCTTATATATTCGTTCTAATTATAGGAACTAAAAATGTATAATATTCTGTAATTGTTTTAAATGCTACTTAATTTGATTTTTAATCAAATTTTTTAGTGAAATTCTTGACGCCAAGATCAGGCTATTTTTTTGTGCGCCACTTCGGTGCAATCCTTTGATGGTAAAAGCCGCAGTTACAAACGGAACGGAATTTCTCTTTCGCTCCGATTCCGTTTCCCGTTTACGAGCGTCGGTAATTATAGTCGAAGACCGAAATATTGTAAATTACGTAGGCACGCAGACACAGACTGGTATTTTCGGCAACCAGTTTCGCACGATAATCGGCATAAACTCGCATCTGTGTCCAAGAATAAGCTTTGCAAATTGCGTGTTCGCGGTTCTCTCTGCGCGTCGTCATTACGCGTGTCGTCGTTATTTGGCTCGTGTTCATCGGCCACATTTATCTATGCATATCGCATCGTCCCCACGTGCGGCACACACATATCGACAGCCTAACGCCTGATAATGAGCATTTAATAGTATAAGTGCGGACAACTGTATTTACAGAGATACACGAAACGGAGGCGTCACGCATTTTAATTAATCATTGAATTTCTCGCCTCATTGACATTGGGATAAATCACTTGTTCTGAGCATAAATTTATACATCACTTTTACGCGTGGATATTGAGATATCTGCTGTCTGCTTTCAAGGTAGAACATCTTCGAAAATTATATTCGCGC